GTACAGCGGTGATGTGTGACTGGGCCCCGAGGTCAAAAAGGTTAAGAACCCCTGATTTAGAGGATTTATTCTCTCTTTACATTTTTTAAAACTATATTTATTCATTTATTTTCAGAATATTTGCAATAATTGGCCCTATAAAAAATATTTACCTGCCCAGTCAGGTAAATAAAGACACACCTGTCTGAATATGGGTTTTACCTGGCCGGGGCAGTGGGGCAGTAGTGTGTGTGTGAGCCTGCTGTGAGTGTGAGGTCATACCGCCCAGCCCTGTGATGATTGGTTCATGTGAAGCTGCTGCTCGCTGCAGCTGCTTCTGCTGCACGTCACCTCTGCATGCTGCACCAGGTGTTCTGATCTGACCTGTTACCTGAAGTCTCACCTGTCAGGTGTGACCGCTCTGATCCGGTTAGTCAGGAACCTGTAAAATAAACATTTAACTCTGATCAGAAAAATAAATCAGTTTGATTCTGTCTTTATGAGACAATCAGGAAAATAAATCTGTTGAATCTATTTTTAAAACTTTTAAAAATTAAAATTATAAAATTTAAATTTATTTTGAGGTCAAAGGTCACAAAGAACCACCAGCTGACGAAGAGGCCTCCTCTTCCTCAGCTGAAGGATGAAGTGTTTTGTTCCAACATGTTTTGTTGTTGTTGTTGTTGTTGTTGTTGTTGTTGTTTACCTTCTTGTTTCATGTTGACCTTCCTCTTCTCCTCTTCCTCACCTTCCTCTCTCCTCGTGTTGTGTCCCCCCCCCCCCCCCCCCGGTGGTCACGGTGAACAGCTGGCGCTGCTGCAGTACCGCCTCAGTATGTCCAGCACGCCGTGCCAGCCTCACGCCCCCCCAGGCTGTGGGAGCCTCCACACCTACCAAGTACTTTTACCTTTTCATTTAGCCCCGCCCCCTGGGGGGCCTCCTTTAGCCCCGCCCCCTGGGGCCTCCTGGAGGGAAACCTTCAGTCAGTCCTCCTCAGTCCAGGATCCTTCTCTGACACCAACTGAGACCTGATCCAGGTTTATGGTCCAGTCTGACAAAATCCACAAACCATCAGGTCTTACTGTAGCTGGGTTCATCAGAACCATCAGAACCACAATCAGAACCATCAGAACCATTAGAACCACTATTAGAACCATTAGAACCATCACAACCACAATCAGAACCATTAGAACCACCATTAGAACCAT